CTTTGTTAAGCGAGCGACTTAACAGGAAGCCTGACCCTTGACCCCAAAATCTGGCCTTCTGGCCCAGTTTTAAGTTAGGGTGTTTTCTGTCTGTGTACCTTCCATTCAAGCTGTTGTGCCTACTCACTCCTAGGGATCTTGACTACAGGGAAGGAATCTTGACTTGGGGGGGGGGAGTTTAGTTCGTGCAGCATAGAATTACACTCAGTCCTTTCCCGGAATGTTGGGCTACCTTGTTGTGATCTGATTGGCTACAGTCGGCATGGTGCTCCATAAATGTAAGGCCTCTGGATCAAAATAGATCACGCTAATGCCATTGCAATGTGCTTGGCTCCTGAGGGGCTTCTGGAAGAAGTGATTTGCCATCTGTCTGTATTTTTCCTCTCTTTTTTTCAGTGTAGCCCAGAGTTCTGACATCCTTCTGCCACCCCCCCTAAAATAGGATGAGGCAACGGCTCAGCTGCAGACATCACATCAAACATGGGCTGATGGAAGTTCACTACAGTGCTTCAGCGGGGAGGGCGGGGTATAAATCGAACAAATAAATAAATAAATATAGTTTGGTTTGATGCCTGAATTGTCCGACTGTGGTTTGTGAAGGGTCAGCAAGACCAGCTCTGGAAAACAAAGTCATTTTGTTCCTCTAAGCTGCTGTGAACGATGAGACTTTGCTTTCTGGTTCCTGGTGTCTCTGAATGTTGTTTTTTTTGTATTTTTGCTGCAGCTCCGTCGCGCCTTCCGGGTTGATTTTTACTGCATTTGGTTTTCAAGTCTCAGCTGCTTGGAAACCTCACCCAGCACTATGCAGGAGATGGGAGACACAGCTTCCTGACTGCTAGTTGTATTTTTTTTTTTAAATGAAAAGCAGCCACAGCAGGCTGTGATCAGGAGGAGTGAAAGTGTGAAGGGGGAGATGGTCAGTTACACCCTCTTCCCTGCAGCCCTGGATCGCCATACAGGTGGGAAAACAGCTGGAGGGCCCAGCGTTCCCTCTAAGCTGAGTTAATGTGAGCTAGCTCACAGTTTTTTAGCCTCCGGCTCATGCATTTTTGCCTTAGCTCAGGAAGGAGGGCTCCAGAGCCAACTAATTTATGCAGTAGCCAAATCGCTCGCTCACAACTTTAATGCCGGTAGCTCACAAAGTAGAATTTTTGCTCACAAGACCCCACAGCTTAGCGGGAACATTACTGGAGGCCATGTCCGCCTGAGTAGAAAAGTGGGAAAGGACTAGGACTGAGCATCCCCACTCAAACCTGGCTGCTTTTCATTTAAAAATAATGATTCAGAGACTGCTAATGTGCGTTTCTTGCGCAACTGCTAGTTCAGCCTTGATAAGAAAAGTGGGATATAATTCTACCCACCCACCTACCCCGATGTTGTGTAAAAGCCACTACAGTTCAGCGCCTCCTTGCAGGATGGAAAGTGACCGGAGAAAGCAGAGCCCCTGCCAGGATTCCTCTGCTTTTTCTTTCTTTCTTTCTTTTTTTTAACAGATAATTTTTATTCAGTTTTATAAACAGCAAAGATATACAAGTTAAGCATGAGCATAGACAGCTCTTAATGGCTTCATACATTTCATACAAGTAGCATCCTTCTGGGATAAAATAATAGAAGAAATAACGATCATAACCAAAATCAAGATAGACAAATCCGCGGAAGCTCTGCTTTTAAATCTTAGAGAGGAAAATGCTCTATCTAACACAAAGGAAAAGAATCTCTCTGTTACTATTTGCAGCCAAAACCACATTAGCAGCCACATGGAAATCCACGAGTAGGTTAAATGTAAACCTCTGGTACAAAAAGCTATGGAACCTTTATAGAATGGAGAAAATCTCAGATACTCTGAAACAAAATCGATCTAGAGGTGGTCAGAATGACATTGTATGTATATGGTACCCCATACTAGTACATCTGTCTACCAAAGAAACAGTACCTGATGTAATAAAAACTCTGCATCTATGGTAATTTCCCCTGCTTTTTCTGTTGGTTGTCTGAACACATTATCCTCAGTCGTTCAGGAAGGGTCTGCAATGCAACAGATCCCACGTCCTAAGGACAATGGGAGAAAGGGGGACTGGGAGAGCGTGTGCGCCAGTGTGGTGTAGCATTGTAGAGGCTTGAGTTCAGATCCCCTGTTCAGCCACAAAGCTTACTGGGTGACTGTAGGGCAAGTCAACCTCTTGGCCTCAACTAACTAAACTTGGCTGGTTGTTAGGACAGAATGCAGGAGAGCAGAATTTGGTGTGCCACTCCAGGCTCCTGGGGAGGGAAGGCAGGGCGAAAATGCAAGGGAAACTGTCAGTTAAAGCACTCCTTTTCTAAGCAAGGCCATCTTTAAATGGCTGCTTCTGAATCTCAAAAGCTCATTCTGTTCTCTGCTGAATCTTTTCTTTTTCCTTCTCTGCCTCTCTCGTTCTTTCTCTCTCTAGGAGAAACCTTCTCGCCCTAAAAGCCACGAGAGCCTTGTCAATGAGATTGGTGAGCGACAATCCAGTTTTCCTAAAATCTTGCACAGAGCAGCATTTATCGATTCATGTTTTCATTGCCTCCGTGGGTGGAAACCCTTGACTAATTCCTCTCTGCTAATATTTATTTATTTATTATTAATTTTATTAATATTTTATTTCTCTTCTTTATTAATGGATATGATTAATTTTATTAATACCTCCTGGTTACTTCACCATTCAGTCTCTAGATGGCATCCCCCCCCCCTTTTCTTTTCCTAGGGTGCTGCCCCAAATTTACTTAGGACTACAGGTAGGAGCTGCGGTGGCTCAAGTGGTTAAGACGCTGAACTGCAGGCTGTGGAAGGTCGTTAGTTCAGCAGTTTGAGACCCGAGTGTGCCGCATGATGGAGTGAGCTCCCGTCTCTAGTTCCAGCTCCTGCCAACCTAGCAGTTCGAAAGCAAGAAATTGCAAGTAGATAAATAGGTACCACTTCAGTGGGAAGGTAACAGCGTCATGCCGGCCACATGACCACGGAAATGTCTTCGGACAGCGCTGGCTCTTCGGCTTTGAAACGGAGATGAGCACCGCAACCCTAGAGTCAGATTCGACTGGCTTTCGAGCAAGGGAACCTTTGCCTTTACCTTTAATATTTATTTATTTTTATTAATTTTATTAATATCTTATTTCTCTTCTTTATTAATTGATAGAATTAATTTTATCAATATCTCCTGGTTACTTCACAGTTCAGTTTCTAGATGGCATCCCCCCCTTTTTCTTTTCCTAGGGTGCTGCCCCAAATTTACTTAGGACTACAGGTATTTATTATGAAGGGGAGTAACATGCCTATAATTCTAACCCTATAATCCTTGGGATGAGAAAGCACATGTGTATGTGGAAACAAGTGAAAATAAACAGGAATCTAAAGACTGACAAGGTTTTATTCCAGGATAAGTTTTTGCAGACTAAAGCCCCCATCAGATGCATGTAAAGGAACCCCACAACACACACAGTCAAGAAAAAAGGTTGTACATAGTAAGCAAAGGAGCCATGAAGCCAGAAGTACAAAGTCAAAACTGAAATGTAATGAAGAAAAATACTGATCACAACAGCCGTAATGGGTGATAAGGCCATTCCCCTAATTAACACCTGCAATGACCAAAGAATAGGGTTGCCAACTCTGAGGTGGGCTATTCCTAGAGGTTTGAGGGTGGTGCCTGGCGAGGGCAGAGTTTGGGGAAAGGAGGAAGCTCAGCCAGGACGTGATATTGAACAATCCATCCTCCGTAACTGCTATGTCTTCCAGGGGAACTGATCTTTGTGGTCTAGGGATCAGTTGTAATTCCAAGAGAACTCTGAGCCCCACATAGTGTTGGCAACCCTACCAAGAATCCCCAAGCCCTTGTTAAATCCTCAGCTGGGGGTGGGGAGATTGTATCAGACTTCTTGATGAATTCTAACTTATTAGTTTCACGCTGGAGTCTCCCTTTGAAGCTCTTTTGCTGGAGAATTATGAACTGGCAAGAAGGGAAACAGAAATGTGGAAAGAGGTCTTGCGTTGACCTTTGTTCCAAACAGCTTCTACACACACAAGTAAAAGTGCCCTCTGCATGGTCTTGATGCATCTGTTTAGGGTGGCACATAATTGACGGTGGCTAAAGCAGAATTGGGCCACCTGCTGCACCTGTGATGTTTTCATGTGGCTGTGTACAACACATCTTGGCGAAAGCACATGTTGTCCACAAGAAATTTGCAGGGAGTTGAAATGGCGCAAGTATGTGGTGTTCGCAAGCAGGCACTCTGTTTAACGTGTACTGCCTCTCTTTGTGTCCCTTGCATCCGTTACAGAACAAGCCGTGCAAGAGACTGTGGATGCAGATGTGTATGTGAGAAGGAGGCAGGCCCAGCCCGCGTCCAGAAGCCATCGGGAGGTTCAGCGGTAAAGATTGATTCTGTGGATCGGACAGTAATTTGGGAGGCGCGTCTGGATGTTCAAGATGCCAGAGAAGCAAGAAACTCCTGCAAATGGCCGTGTTTCCCGGCAACGTTCAGAGTGGAACTTCTGCATTTCCTGTTGTGGTCGGATGTGCCAGCTTTCCCTGTATCAGGAGCTTGGCCTGTCTGACCAGAAGGGAAATTCAGAAGTTCTGCTTTATAACACTCAAGAGGCATAAACAGCAGGAAGGGCATGCACTGTACAAAGGGTAATTATTCATTACTGGGCAACATAAGGCGGATTTATACAAACTTTCCCTGGACTATTG